CACGTAGAATTAAGGCAGTTCTGAAGGCGAAAGGGGGTCAAACACCGTATTAGTATGGTGTTCCTAATAATCCTTTAGGTGAGTGTATATGCAGGTTCTTGACAACTAGGAGTAGCTTTGTTCATAGGTTTATTTACATGTTTAGAGTAATGACAGCATGGAAGGGACTGCCATCTTGCTGGGAGCTTATTGTCTGTCTGTCTGTCTGTCTGTGCGTGCATGCACATGAGTGTGTGCAGGTGGCACACAAATTGATGATATACTAGCTGCACAATATACTTTTACTTACCAAACTCTCTGAACCAATCATTTTTCGTTCTTCCCTCAGAATATTTTTCTGTAAATAAAACTCCCATGAGTGCACAATATACTGATGAGATACTTGCCATCACAATCTAGTCCGTAACAAGCTGAGTGAATGCCAACCAGTCAAAGAGATTTTTATTATTATAATATTTTTACTTGTATTATTCCCTTTTTTTTATTAACTTCCAGAAAATTTTGTGGCTCACCCTCCATCTTGGGGATTAATTAGCAGACTGAGAAGTACCCTGATCTTGTTGATTTGGGACACGTGTGCCTTTAACTTGTGGCTCTTGAAGTGTAATTCTAACATTTTGGAGGGGAAAACAAATCGTTGTCAGTCCCAGTGACTGGCGCTCTAACTCGGTCATCTTGTTGACCAAATGGGGTAGCGACATGCTTTCTGGGAGCGTCAGAAGGGCGCCTTTCCGGGTGCCAGCTGGCGCGGGGCATTCGGCAAGCTCCTCACACTTGGGAAGAAGAAAAAAATCAGAACAAGTGGGTGTTTCTGTTTTTCAGCACCATGGAAGAGAACAGAGAACGGCCGCGTAGACAGGGATGGAGATGGAGACGGGCGGGTGGGGGGAGAGGTTCTGTTATTCCAGACGGGCCATACAGATGCAGTTATGTGTCCATTATTCTAGAAAATTCCCCATGCGGTTCCTCCATCAGCTCTTCAATGCTACATTGTATAAAAATGTGAGTTGCTATCTTCCTGTCTCGTGCCGTACTAATTACTTTTCCAACTACTCATCCCCCCCACCCAGGATTAGGCAATGACCCAAAAAGCCCAGTCATTTTTCACCAAGGTCTGTTTCTGGATATGGGCACCGCAGGTTCGACATTTGTTACGTCGCCCCCTACTGAGAGGGAGACCTAACTCAATTTATTCGCTGCACAAAAATAAAATTGAGACAGCAGGTGATGTAAAAACTTACATTTAAAATTAAAATTAAGCTAGGCCGAATATATGAGGGTGTCACTTACAACATACATTTTTTCATGGTGAAGAAAATATTGCCAGGTACCTATAATCTGAACAGAATCCTACGGATTCAATGATGCTAATCATAATCAATAATAATCATTATTATATTATAATCCAACCATATGGGGTCAATTAGGGAGGAAATAATTGATTGGAAAGACTGAATTATTTACATTTAACTGTCAAGATGAGTGAATTATTTACGTTTAACCATTGCGCCCCCTTTTGGCACACAGTGAGACGTCTGGATGATGGGCTCTTGCCCCATGGGGATGGGGGGAGTTATGAATAATGCTAACCAGAGTCCTAGGCTTCATAACTCCTCTGAAATGCTACTCCCCAGGCACCTGGTAAAGGGTGACAGCCAGTACTTAGCCCGTCACCGATGTGTCTTCCCCCTCTGCCCATCTCAAAACAAAGGTCCTGGAAGATCAGGGCTCTGCTTTGTCAGGTGACTGAGATTGGCCACCTTTCACCTCCTCCCTTGCTCTCATCCCCACCTTTCTCAGATCCTGGATGTCCGGAATGTGATGGTGGTCGTGTCCAGATGGTACGGTGGCATCCTGCTGGGGCCGGACCGCTTCAAGCATATCTGCAACTGTGCGAGGGCCATCCTAGTCCAGGAGGGCCACGTGGATCCCGCGGTGAGCAACTGCTTTAGCTTAGTGTTACCTTAGCTGCCCACCTTCATGGATTATCTGGCGGTTTTTCTAGAAGTTTCTGCACATGTTTGTTACTCACCTTCCCTATTTGCATCGGTCCAGCTAGAAAGCTGAAAACACTACTAGGGCCAATCCAGTGCTTCTACAGACTATTTCCCACCAATCAGGACAAACGCAAGTGACCATTACAATGAAGATGTTTATACCCCTGAGATATTTGCAGTGAAGTCTCTCTCTAGGGGTTATTTTGGGCTCCGGTACAGGTCATGCAAAGATGGGTTCATTGTGTGTAGTCTGAAAATCTCATTTGTCTGCTAAGTGGAGAGGAGCGCAGAGATACTCAGAGCATCATCAGTAACGAGTCAGTAACGAGTACCTGTTAAGCTTAAGAGCTATGGGCTGTGAGGAGTATGGGGCTGAGATTGGGTACTTGATTAAATAATGGGCTCCCCGTGCACCATTTCATGTGTTTGTTACCTCTCAACAGGCGGGCATGCTTATTCATAGTTGTCCGCACCTTTCCAGCACTTTCTTTGAAACAGGCCAGCATCTGAGAGAAATGTGAAGGGTAGTCAGAAGGACGGTGGGGTTGTCCTGCTAAGCTCCAGCGCTCCAAAGGCATACTCTCGCAGATGGACACTCAACGCATGCATATTCCTCTCAATGCTATGGGTAACCATTGCCTCAGAAACAGGCTGCAGAGATGCCTTTGAATTGCTGTTGGACAACAAGTGCATAGCTTATCCTTTTATCATGAGGGGAAAACCTGGAGTTTAAAAACTGTAGAGACTTTCAAGGCTAGGGATATGAAGAAGTAGGTGGTAGTCTTGTTGTGAGTTCAGTCTGGTGACTCTGGAAGCAATATTCTTCTGTAACCAGCAAAACCATCAGGGGCGTCTGTAAGCTTTGAGAAAATATTTAAAACCTCCTGTAGAAATGTCACACCATCGAGGCATTCAGCAAAATTAGCCGTATCTGTTTGAGCGCACATTCTAATAACCCTTAATAGGATTGTATGTTTGTTTGAGATTTATCGGTGAGGCGTAGTATCCTGAAAAAACAGGCACTGTATTAAAAAAGTAATGTATGTAAATTACACATAATGAAGCGAGAATTGCTGAAACCCTTTACTGGGGTGTGCCGGTGTTGTTTAAACACCTAGTTGGTGTCTTCATGGACCACGACACCTGAACCACGATAGCTGTGGGTGAAGGGCAATGTTTGACAGAGTGCCCCCTGTTGCCTTGGACTGTTCATTAGCGCTGGAATGGCGCACCGGGCATGAGGTTCCTGAGTAGCTGTAGGAATTGGTTTTCTCCAAACATCTCTTGAAATGCTGCATATCCAGGCCGCTTGATGGTCCTTAAATCTGCGTATTTTGGCTTACAGAGATTTGCCTGCTTATTTTTTTTTTATGACATTCAAACTTGAGGTCTACACTGTTCTCAAAGAGCTGTTCATTCAGATATCCGGAATGAGCTGAAATGTCCTAGAATATAATAACCTGAATAACTATCAGCAATGCTGTGGGCCACTGTCAGCTTCCAGGATGCAGGATTTACCTCGAGTCACTACCATCTCGTTCGCTGACAGCCAGAGATCTCCCTCGTCAGTGTAGGTACATTCATCAAACTTCATGACCCTTTTCCGCTATTCATGCCATCTGTAGCTCCTGTGGGTACAATGTGCTGGGCAGTGGCAGTATTTCTTACCACTCAAGCCAAATATTTATGTGTGGCCCCTGATTCTGAGTCTGGTTCCTCCCAAGGCTTCTTCCTTCTAGGGAGTTTTACTTTGTCACTGTCACCTCTGGCTTGCTCACTGGGGGCTTTGGGCGGGGATAATGTAAAGCACTTTGAGACAATGTAATGTTGTGAAAATCCACTATACAAATAAAATTGAATTGAAAATTTAATTGAATTTAATTGAATTCAATGCAGTTGTTTCATTCAGACCCATTGCCATAAAATAAAGCACCTAGCCATGCAGTGAGGTTTGCAAACATTTGTGAAAGAATGGGTCATTCGGAAGAGCTTGGTGAATTCAAGCGTTGTAGTGTCATATGATGCCACCTTTGCAATAAGTCAATTTGTGAAATTTCTTTCATGCTAGATATTCCACAGTCAACTGTACGTGTGATTATTGCACAGTGGAATTTAGGAAAAAAAGAAATTCAGCTATGAAGTGGCAGACCACCTAAAGTAACAGAGCAGCGTCGCTGAGTGATGAGACGCATAGTCACTCTGTTGATTCAATAACTGCGGAGTTCCAAACTTCCTCTGGCATTAACTCCAGCACTAAAACTGTGCACCGGGAGCTTCATGGAATGAGCTTCCATGGCCAAGCAGCTGCATGCAAGCCTCACATCACCAAGTGCAATGCCAAGCATCAGATGCAGTGATGTAAAGCATATTGCCACTGGACTCTAGAGCAGTGGAAACGTTCTGTGGAGTGAGGAATCACGTTTCTTTGTCTGGCAGCCTGATAGACAAGTCTGGGTTTGGCAGATGCCAGAAGAACATTACCTGTCTGACTGCATTAGTGGAGGAGCAATAATGCTATGGGGTTGTTTTTCACAGATTGGGCTATGCCCCTTAATTCCAGTGTAGGGCACTCTTAATAGCCGAATTCACACTGAATTTCTGGAACCTGGTCCCAGTTTACAAATTCCTGGGCCATCTCAACCTGGAATTTTGTGGCTCATGGCCACTTTCATGTGTCGCTTTTACACCACACGACACAACAAGAGTGGCAGCTCTCCTACTCATGTGTCTTTCTGACTGTTCCATGCTAGCATACAGCCCTCTATGCAAATTACAAATGAATTCCAGCTCTCTCTATAGGAAGTGAATCGAGGACTTGACATTTAATTGGTGCTGTGTTTGACTTTGACAAGGTTTTTGAAGCGGGCTGCAGAAAATGGCGGGTAAATGGCACCATCTAATGTCATCCTCAAGCTGTTCAGGGGGCCATCATGGATGTTTCTTGGGCCCCACTCAGTCTCTTTGTGCCCCTGCTAGTGCAGTGACTTTTTGCGGCCAATAGGGGGCCTGATGCAAATGCATGATTTGAGTAGCGGTAAATGCTGTTGCTACCTACAGTCAGGACCATAAATATTTGGACACTGACACAAGTTTTACTATTTTACCTGTTTACTGAAATATACTCCAGCTGAAGTTATACAATGGGCATGTACATAAAGTGCAGACTCTCAGATTTCATTTCAGGGTTTCCACATTAAAATTGGATGAAGGGTTTAGGAGTTTCAGCTCATTAACATGTGCCACCCTGTTTTTAAAGGGGCCAAAAGTAATTGGACAATTCACTTAAAAGCTATTTCATGGACAGGTGTGGGCAATTTCTTTGTTCTTTAATGATCAATTAAGCAGATAAAAGGCCTGAAGTTGATTTGAGGTGTCTTGTTTGCATTTGGAAGATTGAGGTGTGAACATACAACATGCGGTCAAAGCAACTCAGTATGCAGGTGTAACAGGCCATCCTTAGGCTGCGAAAACAGAAAAAAACAATTTGAGAAATTGCTACAACATTAAGAGCGGCAAAATCCACAGTTTGGTACATCCTGAGAAAGAAAGAAAGCATTAGTGAACTCAGCAACGCAAAAAGGCCTGGACGTCCACGGACGACAACAGTGGTGGATGATCACAGAAGCATTTCCATGGTGAAGAGAAACCCCTTCATAACAGCCAACCAAGTGAACAACACTCTCCAGGAGGTAGACGTATCAATATCCAAGTCTACCATAAAGAGAAGACTGCATGAAAGCAAATACAGAGGGTTCACTGCAAGATGCAAGCCACTCATAAGCCTTAAGAATAGAAAGGCTAGATTGGACTTTGCAAAAAAACATCTAAAAAAGCCAGCACAGTTCACCAAAACAGACAGCAAAAGCAACCCAGGACTTTATTAAAGCAAAGAAGTGGAATATTCTCAAATAGCCAAGTCAGTCACCTCATCTCAACGCCATTGAGCAGGCATTTCACTTGCTAAAGATAAACTACAGACAGAAAGTCCCTCAAACAAACCGCAACTGAAAGCTGCTACAGTAAAGGCCTGGCAGAGCATTAAAAAGGAGGAAACCCAGCGTCTGGTCATGTCCATGAGTTCAACACTTCAGGCAGTCATTGCCTGCAAAAGGTTTTCAACTAAGTATTGGAACTGAACATTTTATTTGCAGTTATATTAATTTGTCCAATTACTTATGAGCCCCTGAAAGGAGGAGATTGAGTAGAAAAATTACTTTAGTTCCCCACATTTTTATGCAATGTTTTTGTTCTACCGACTGAATTAAAGCTGAAAGTCTACACTTCAACTGCATCTGACTTGTTTCTTTTAAAATTTATTGCGGTAATGTACAGAACTTACAAATTGAAAAACTTTGTCTCTGTCAAATATTTCTGGTCCTGACTGTATATACCCGGAGTACCCTCCCCCTGCATTTCTTCCTCATTTTTGATGGTCATCTTATCACTTGAGCTAGGACCTTATCCCCCAATTGCTCCAAGGACTGGCAGACTCTGCTTTCTCAATTGTACATCTCTTTGGATAAAATCATCTGCTAAATAAAAAAAGAAAATAAAACTCAAGTGGGACATGAGAAGAGTATTAAACAGCATAGATGTGGGCTAACCTTTGGATTTGAACTGCTGACCACCTGATCTTGGGTACACTAAGCCACAAACCACATCTTAAACATACCATTGCTTGCCTGGTATTTTTAATAACTAGAACCTCCACAGGGTTTATTTTCCCTCGTGGTCCTCTGATGTTGCCAACACCTGAACGCTAACGCCCTGCTCAGGAACGCACTGCTACCTGCCAATGCGGGCCATGTTGGCTTTCACCCGGCACTGTGCCATGCCAGCGGATTCAGATGCCGTCACCCGCTGAAGAGACCCTGAAAGGAGGCAGTCATTGATATCCGATGGCTCCCTGTGGAGTGTCTGGAAACACGGCGATGAAACTGAAACTCAAACGGCATTAGAACATAAAGCAGCTTTCGGCCGCCTCCACGATTTTATGGTTATATAAATACTTTCATTCCACAAGCCCATTTTAATGTCAAAGTGTGTCTTCCTGAATATTTGCTGCATGTTTAGCACAGGATCTTACCTCCATATTACATCATGCCACACGGTCCCGAGGAACCGTTTATTTGCCTCGTACGTGCCATGAACCAGTCACTCTTCCAGGTGCTCGTTTCGTTTCCTGTTCCTGTCCGATGTAAGATGGAACATTCTAGAATGACTGGAAAAAAATAAGTACCATGCCAGCAGAAGTTGTCTGTTAAGGTGCAGGGTAATGTGGGAGGTCATGGCAACAGTTCATGACTACCAGCGATAATCAGCAAGGCTGGGGGGTACGCCACCCCCCCCTGAGCCCCACAGGACACAAGTGCAAGATGTAAATACGAAAATCAGCGCCTGTCAAATGTCAGCACACGGTGCCTCAGCCTGGGGAGGGGGCACCACAGGCGTTTGTACCGCAGTATGTATGTAGAAGGACCCCCACCCCACTGCTGTGGCTCATCTGCTGCGTCATTCCTCTATCGTGGGCGCGGCAAACCATTAGCTCTGAAAAGATGAAAACAAAAGCTAATGCTTGAGTTTTGTGAGTGCAGGGGGATTTAGAATGAGATGGAAACGGCATGGGGGGGGGGGGGGGATTGTGCCTACATTGCATAACCTCACAGCTCCATCCAGAGGTAGGAGAATCTTACGGGTCCAGCTGTCGTACCCTCGGTCTGTCCCTAAACCTGAATGAAGGAGCTGGCCTTTACGAGTGAATAAGCTGCGGAAACTGGCGTGAACAAGTGTGCCCTCAGGGGGGAGGGCACAGTGACTGCAAGTGTGAGAATCTGCACACACCGAGCGGGGAGGAGCATGACAGCCCCGCCTCCTCCTTCACGAGAGAAGGAGCGGCTGGCTCTGTCCCCATCCAGCCCAACGTCGCCCCCCCGGGGGGCCGCAAGGGGGCTACAGTAAACGGGCAGTGGTGGGGGGAGGTGGCATGTGGGGACACAGGACCGGGGGAGACCTGGCACGTTATCGAGCGAGCTTTCTGAAATCGCCCCTTGCTGTGGCATGGCATCCTTTGTTATTCCCATCGTTTATCCATTTTTCTCTCTCTCTCTCTCTTTCCCCCCCCCCCCAGGATGAGTCATCCAAAGCTGGAGGAAGGAACAAAAAGCAGAAAGGCAAGAAAGCGAAGTAAGGAGGACGGCTGACCAAGATTCCGGCCCATTAATCCATTAATCGGATTCAGATTCTTACACATTGAACATTTCTGATTCACCATGGACGCCCTTCCACATCATAGCGCAGGGCGACTGCTCACGCCTTCCTGCAGCATCCCTATCTGAAATGGCTAGACATGGAGGAATTGGCTAATTCCCATGCCACCATTGGCATCACATGTCCCCGAAAGTGCTTCCTTGATGATTAAATAAGCATCTGTTAAGGGACGGGGCAGGCTGCAGACGAGAGCCTTGCTTGGGAATTGTCCTCAGAATTTATTCCCAAAGGAATTTGATTTTCATTCCTTCATCATTATTGGATTTATTCAAGATGAATCTGGCTCAAATCTCCCAACCATTCATATTCATTCGTATTCAATCTGCTTAGATGATGAAATGAATAAATATTTACTGTGGGGGCTGGAGACTGTCTCTGAAAGGTATTCAGTTTCATCCTTCCGATCCCTAACAGACCCCCCAACTCTGCCCCTCAACTCAATAAAATTTAATTTCTGAAGAGCTCATAAAATGCCTGTTATCACTGTTACTTCATCCCTGTAACTGCTTATATAACCGCTTTTATCTGGCTTTCAGTTTTTAACCACAATTGCACTTAACAGCACAATGGGATGAAATCATGTTAAATGAAGATCACCTTTGCATCAAGAGGTGCTTCGGACCAGAGGGTCTTCACTACCTGTACATATAAAGATGTCATTTCCATTCATCCTTTGATTTTAGTTCAATCTGTTTTTTATCACAACACAGTCACCCCAAAGCTGTTGGCAAGAGTGTGTAGCTAATCTATCACTACATCATTTGTGCAAAATGGTACATGAAACAGGGGAAAGAGAAAGAAAGAATGTCAGAAGACAGAGGAGAAGAGCTCTTTCCTTATTTTTTGACCATACTTTAGAGGCTGAGATTCTCACATACAGTACTGTGCAAAAGTCTTAGGAAGTCAAGGGAAATGGTGTTTAAATGATCTTCATGTTGGTGTACAGCTATGGTATTATATCTGTCAAAGTGTGTCAGCTTAGTCATTTCAATACCTCTCCAAAAATAACCCCAGGATTTGCAGCAAATCCAATACACCCATACATTTTTTGACTTAAATGCTAACATGCCGTGTTTGGCCAATCAATACCTCATGCACTTTTTAAAATAATTTACTTAAGTGAGCTGGTAGTGAAATTTAAGGAATTCACATAATGCCCTTGCGAGGACCTTTGGGAACCGAAGCGGTGTTCATATGGCTACCCAAGAAGAAATCAGTAACTTTTTGGAGAGCAGAAGCAACTCCTCTTAGTTTTTATTGTGTCATATTTAATATGCATATGTTCTGATTGTGCTTTTTGCTTTTTGTTCAGAGCACATATACACTGACTACCCAGAAAAATAGCTTCAAACACTGCCTGAGACTTTCGCACAGTACAGTTTCATTGCATGAGCTTAACCCCCCCCCCCCATGTTTTGGCAGCAGTGATACGTGGGAAGAGGTGGATGCTTTAAAGAGGCGTTATTTATGCCTCCGCAGTTGTGCGACAGTATAGCAATTTAAATAACAATGCAAGCTCAGAAATAAATATGATAATTCAGCATTGCGGAGTCAAAGCTAGAGGCTGGGGGGGGGCTGTGTACACAAGGGGGTCCCCCAGTCACGTCTTCCCCGTGTCCCTGATGTTCCTCTGTCACCTTCTCTCACTCCCTTCGAATATTAAAACGCCTTGAACGGATCCCTTTGACAGTGGGGTGGAAGTAAAATCACCTCTCTCTCTCTCTCTCTTTCTCTTTCTCTCTCTCACTCTGCAGGTGTTTTTGTTTCAGCCTCTCCGGTTCTGTTCTGGCCCAATCTGTTTAGCAGCGCCAGACATAAATAGGATCCATGGCCTGTGATTAGATTACAGAATCCAATATGTAATTAAATCCACTAAAAACTGAATGCAAATAATTCAGGTGGCACCCATTGTGAAGGATTATATTGTGAGCGGCTGTAGTTTTAATAATTTTCGAACCGACAAAATAAGTAATGCCGTTTTCTGCTGCGAGGGGCCCCATGTTATCCGAGGCGGCTTTCCAGTGAGTCATGGCCGTCGGCTCCAAGCAGCAATCTGACATGGTGTGGTGTTCTCTGGGTATTTGGGGGGTATTACAACACCAGTGCAGTTCGTAAAAATACGCATCCTCTCATGTACATCCCCTGCAAGCTAGGTGGCTGTAACCAGGATTTCCTATGGTGAAAGTAATAAAAAGTGAGTGTGGAGTGTAATCATATTGAACCTTGCAGCTTTGCCTGAGAGGCCTCTTATGTAGGGGACGGTGACCCCGGCTACATCAGAGGATCAAAGCTGCTTAGCAAAGCCCCTAGGATCCTCATAAGACGACTAAATCAACATCTTAGTGTACTGTATACAGGGGTGCGGCCACGGGACACTGGCCCCAGCTGAATGCTGAGTCAGTCCTTAAGTACCCCCTCCGCTTTCAGTCACCGATTCCAAACATATCATTGGCTACAGATAATCTTGTCCCCTCTGTATGAATTATGGCCCCTATTATGCCCTGGAATCCTGGAATCACCTTTGAAAGCATGTAGGGTCCAGCCGACAGAGACCTAATCAATGTAAACAGATGCCCCTTTGGTGAGATGATTTATTTCCAAATCACGGTCGTCAATTCAAGGTCAGATTCCAGTCTTACTCTACTGTGGGCTAACACCAGTGGCCTATAATACGAAGCGGGGTTACTGGCTTATCGGGGTAACTTGTTGGATTTAAGGTAGTCTGGGCAAAATGTAAGTGAGCGAATATGAAGTCCATTTAAACTGTGGTACCTTAAATCCGACAAGTTACCCCGATAAGCCAGTAACCCCGCTTCGTAGTACAGGCCACAGGACTCAGTGAAGGGTAATTCAGCTCATTTAAGTTTAACTATGGAGAGTCACACTCACTCACACAGGCAGGTACAGACAAGTCTACGGTTTCCCTTATAAATACACAGAGGTTTTCACCCCCGGTAATTCATTTCACTTCTGAAAACACTCGGGCTTCCGAAGGCACGCAAAGCGGCATGGAAAAAGACATCCAGGAACGCAAAGGTGATTGGGATTCATCTTGCTTCCGACATCTGACTGCTGAGAGATTGTCCCTGATTGCTCGGGGAAACTGCCGCTTTATTATAATTAGCGGTGAGTCACCAACAAGTGAGCTTTCCTCTGGTAACTAGTCAGCAGATAAGTAAAAATAAGTCTTAATTTGATTGGAGGCTGAATGCTTTTATGTTTCCTTCAGCTTCTCTAACCTTGAATGTGGACGGTTGCAGACCTAAGGTGTTCCTCTGCCCAAACAATGTCGATTGTCTGAACACGATGGCTGGAAATTTCAATTAATAGCAGTGCTGCGTTCTTATTAAACTGACTGCTCATATAACTGAATGATAGGACTGTACCCCCAAGTAATCTGATATACAAACACTTCTCAAGAGCACGGAGATTACATCTGCAGGACATGTGAAAATGATTATCAACAAAACTATGAATTTTATGTTCTAGCTGTTTTACTATCTGAAATACTACACAGGAAACTCTGCTCCCCTCCCCCCCCCACCAAAATCACCTGTAAAGTTCTCAATCTATGTAAATGGGTGCAGTCTTGCCCTCCCATTCCCACGCATTCAAATTAATTATCAGTACAGTTAAGTCAAAAGGCAGACAAACTCTTAATCCCAAGTCGTGGAGACAGCTGATAAATGAAATTCGATCTAAAATGAAGAATCCTGTATCCATTTAGATCACTATCTTAGGAAATAAATGTATATATCTGTGTAGTTCAGCTAAATTGCATTGCCATTGCAGAAGAGAGCCTAACTTTTGAATTGATGTGTTTTCCCACAAATGCATGTCCAGTTCGCGATTCCAGCAAAGCAGGAGCCCATCCAGCACAGAGAGCATGGCACGGGCAATCTGGAGCTGCTGAGTCATGTGTTTGGACTATGGGAGGAGGCTAGAGTAACTGTAGGAAAGTCCATATGCCTTAAAAAACGAGAAGTATTTCAGTTACCATGGTGACCCTCACCGTAAGACAAAGACTAGCTTAAGGTAAGCATGAGGCATTCCAGCTAGCCCATCAGCGAGACCCGCTCTTTCTGCACTGGTACGCAAATGTGCTTCTTGGGGTTTTAAAGGAACTGATATAAGATAGAGGAAGAGGGGGAATGGGGGGGAGGGGCAAAGAAAAGCAGAAGAGAACCCGCCTGTGGCTCTGAGTGGCCCTCTGGGTCAGCAATTTCACACCGTGTTGTCATTTCCTGTGTCGCCACTTTCATGGTGTGTCGTCATCTTCGTTTGATGTCGTCGCTCCCCAAGCTGCAGCCGGCCACCTACGCGTTCCCTTTGAAACATTTCTCGTCGGTCTTCAGTGCACCGATTTGTTGCATTAAGTCAGTACCGCTAGGCAGTAACTGCCCAGTGACCTCTGGACAAGCTGGCCAGGTACATACAGCACACCGTTTGGTAATGTCCCAGCATGCGATGTCGTCTGGAACCGTCGATAGCGTTGTTGAGCTCTAGTATGGAAACGAACAAGTCATGGGAGCTTTATATGTTCACCCGCCCCCCTTTCACGCTCGGGCTTTTCAGAATGCATCTGTCCTTTTATGAGTTGCGGGGAAGATGGCAGGCGCGATTCAGCGCCCGGTGCATCGGGAGCACGGCGGGCGGCTTAAATGCGATCCGTGTGAACGGTAAAAAGGAGCGCCGCAGCACAGCGAAGAAAGGCACGGATGAGCAGATAATGCGCCTTGTTGCGGCTTTCACTCCTCGCCTCACCCCTCCGTAGACGTCTTCTTGGGATCCAGCACGGAGGTCGGCATTTAAATCATGAATGTGGGAAAAATGAGGCCAAATTATAAATGGCCTTAGATGGTGCGCTGATGTGCACGAGCACAAAAGTGGTGAAGTAATGTCGAGCTCTAAAGCCCCTGGCGACGGCCCCCCGGGGGAGGCCCCGGGTGGGAGTGAGAGACGGGTTCACCGATAAGTAATGTTGCTTTTTACACTGCTGATCAGCAGACCCCTGGGGCCCCCGTGAATCCTCATCCAGGCTTACAGAGGACGCATGTTAAGGAGCAAAACACATTTGCATGGAGTACTACACAACTCATTATGGGGAGGTGCAATTCCTGACCCCTGAAGCAAGGGGGCAGCGCTGTGAAAGAAGGGTTCGGAAATGCCTCTGTCTGTGATTGTGGAATAATAATTATTATCGCTCCATTGATTAGAGCATCGTTTTCTAGATATAAGCAATTGTACTCCTGGAGGGAAGAAGTGCCTGTGAAGTTTTCCCTGAGTAACCCAAACCTGTTATTTTTTTTAAGTCCTAAGCAGCTCAAAATTTGCATACTCAAACAGACACCCCCGCAAACAAGATCCACCTGCACCATTGACAGCTACCGAGTGACTACAACTACTTTACTGGCCCTCAATTAAACATGAGAGGCCATGCCTGTGTCAGTTACTCTCAGAGATATTCAAATGAGCACCAAAGTAACTTCTTTTTGCATTAATTACGCTCGTGCACAATTACAGATGATGTATCTGAGGTACATTATTTATGTATTTATGTCGTCTTTTTTTTCCTTCAGCGTGGGTATCAGTCAGAGAGTGGCAGGGTTCAATTTCGAACCCGGCTCCCCTGCAGAATTGGAGGGACCCCTCGCTGCTTAGTGAAGGTGCCCTGTCACACTTCTAAATTGTTTGAATTTTAAAGCAGACGGTTATTTTTTTGGTAGTTAATAGGGAAAGTAATTTGCCTTTTAGCGTAAAGACGAGCACTTTATGATTCTAAATCTACAGGTAAGTGCTGTATTCTTTTTTGTACAAGACAGTATAACAAAGTGAAACTCAGTAAGAATGAACATGCAAACACGTTCCAGTTCCTTCGTGGGAGGTTCAGCGTAACGCACAAGGTGAAGGGGTTACACTCTGACTGAGATGCCAGTCTATGAAAGGACACACAAGGCAGTCAGAAACTCTAGGGGGGGGGGGGGCAGGATTCAAACCCCCAATCCTGGAGGTATGTGGTAGCAGTGCTACCCAAAAATGTAAATAACTGGATAATATTAAATATTAAAATATAATGAGAAGATACTGATATTGTAGATGAAGTTTGATGTTTGCACTTGAGGGGGACAAATAAGAAACGCACCTTGCTCTCTCTATGTGTTAACGCATGTATCTGATGCACACATAACCTATTATTATGTCTACTTATACGGTAGCAACAAGCCACTTATGCAAAGGTGCAAAGTGCCAACACAGAACACAATTATAACCTCACAACACCATCGATTTACTGAGCCTTGACGGTAAACAACTGCATTCAGAAAAGTAACCAAAACAGACAACTGCTAAATCCGTGCATAATACCTTCTGTTAACTAGCCAGGTAAAACACAATTAAAACTCAATTTACCTAACGAAGGAGAAGTCGATTTTGACAGCAAAGACCTGCCCCCTCAGACTCCGTCCATGACTGGTACCAGTCCAGTGTGCTCCTACGCTTCAAGTCCGGTTGGGTTAAGTAGTGATACAAAATGGATGAACGTAATGATACCATATTGTATATTTTATGCAAATAAATTAAATGTTCAATGTAAATTATAAGCCTCATGACCCTGAATAGTAAAAGCAGTTACAGAAAATGGATGGATGTAAATTATAAGTGCGGACACACTTATAACTGCTTAATTAAATCATGGTCATGGGGAGGCGGGGGGGGGCATGGACAGGATGAATAAATCTTTTCATATTCACTTAAATAAAACCCCTAAGATGTCCCTGAAATAGCAGCATTTGGGTGTTCCTTGACAGCATGGAGGAATCGTCAGGATGTTAGTGGGCCGAGATGAAAACAACAACATTAGCACAGTTAGCTTCGCCGAAGATATGATGGACAAGCGGATCATCAGCAGCTCAGGTCATCGCCAGGAGATCCCCACGCCCACACCGCATCGGAATAAATAATTCAGCTCCTCTCGCAGAGGGGGACCGGAACAATTAGCATCTTTTTTTATAACGAAGACCGCCCCCCTCTGCACCTGTCCTGTCAGTGCGCTATGCTAACATTTCATAGCCCACGCCAGGCTCCTCAGGAAAGAGGCCAGCTGTGCTTAGATAAGCACCCATTTCAGCAGCGTCTGACCCTTCTGTTAAAAAGCACCCCTCTGGCATCTTGAGCTTAATAAAAGCCCCCTGCCCCTGGATGCCGCCCGGACA